AATATTAATGGGGGTAGACTCGACCAAGATTCAAAGAGGCTCTTGTTGGTCGGGGTCAAGAGGTTGATACCGTACTCTGCGTCTCACGGAATACAATGGAAAAATAATATTTTTTGTATTCATTTCTGGCTTTTGTAGCTTTTAAAATAAAATAAATATTGGTTGTATTTTGTAACGTAAGACAAAGATGATGATTTCAAGATTGTCGTGAATTTGTATATTAGGTTACAACTGTTTAAGCAGAAGTGTTGTTCATCATTAACAGCTTATAAATGCCCATTGCTGAGCAAAGCGTCTTCTCACACGGAGAAGGTTTAAGGATTAAACACCACGCTTGCTCAATGCAGGTTGGCGATTTCAAGCTTATAATTAGAAATTAATAATAAGTAATAATAAGCCCAGATTTCCTCACGATGTTTTCCTTCACCGTTGTCAGTGGTGTCTAAATAATCTTAGAAAGTACATATAACTCGAAAAAACTCACATTGGTAGGTACTTGCCATTGGTAGGTTTCGAACCCGCACTCTCATGCATGAGAAGCGGGCGTCTTAAACCCTGGGCCACCACGGGAAGTGTTGTTATTTATCTTCAATTTTTGCCTGTTTTATTTGATGATAATTATATTGTAGGTAATGAGTCCTACATTAACTCGTCGAGTACCGGTTTTGTAGACACAATTATAGAACAATAGGTTGCGGTCACCGGTGACCGCTTGGTAAGATATTAATGAGACTGTTAACTAGAAGAGAAGAGAATATTAACTAGACATTTATTTAATTGTAATAGTAGTTTTGATAATAGGGAATGTTACACCGGTTTGGACATGTAGAAAGGATGGATGAAAGTAGAGTAACTAAAGAAGTACACAGAGCCAATTGTTGATGCCGGCGGTAGTGGGTGCCCTAGGCGGATATAATTGACCAGAATGGCGATATATTAAACAAGAGCCAAAAGTACCCGCAACCGACGAGCAGGCATGAAAAGACTGAAGAATGTTGATGAAGCGAAATATGTATGTAGGAATCGTAGTTATTGGCGTTCCATAGTCTCCCATGGGAGACACGCGTGAGCACATATATGTATTTTGGATAAGTAGTAGTAAGTAAAAGACTATGTACATCAATCATATCTGTGTCCTCTCACCATTCGATCAATAACACAGGCACTAATATTTTAATTGTTAATATCGCAACTAATATTGTTAATGTGAAAGTAAGTTTTTTTCTCACATACAATTAATGCATAAAATAAAATATGAAAAATAATGTAGGTCAAATTCACAGGTACAGCCATGGATAAAACCGCTAGTGTTTTATAATCACAAAATTCTCCTGCAACGTGAAGCAACAGTTGATAAAACAAAACGATTTTCTAAACACTGAACACATTTTATATTCAAACCTGCTCAGAAAAGGCACTCAGAATCCGTTTTCCTTAACCCTTTAATTGTTTATGTCCGTTCTATGTGACATACAATAAAAACGCACACAAGTGTAATTTGAAGCGACGGTTGCAGCTCTCGCGCGGCATGAAGCGTCTTTTAGGCTATCCTTTTCACACTTACGCGTTTAAATCAGCTCTCTCGCTCGTAAGGAGTGTTGTGTCAGTCATTTCAAATATTGCAACGGTAGACTCAGTTTGCGCTCGTCAAAAATATTGTTATAATGTAAGTATTTGATTGATTTTTACAAATGTTATGTGTAACTTTGTTAAAATAATCATTTATTGATTGAATTCAATTGTTTTTACCACGATAAAATTGGTTTATTTTCTTAAAAAATTTAATAAATCCAGATGTCATTTCTAACGGACATTGCCAAATAGGTATCACAAGGAGTAGCTTTTATGTTTGTCATTTGTAACGGACATTGCCAACTAGTATCTTGTTAATTTACGTCACATTTTTTACAGTAAAAAAATAATATTAACGGTATTCGTTTCAGTAACATGCCGAAAGCTTGGAGATCTAAGAAGATTCTGGCTCTGTTACCTCCTCCAGATTCAGAAGGTTCGGAATTAGAATCTGAAGATGATGATGAAAGAAGAATAGTAGCACGTGAGTACTTCAGAAATGACTTCAGTTGTTCTTCTTCCGTGAGAAGTATTTCGTCTGAAATGTATGACCTACTTCAAGATCTTAGTGACATAGATGAACCAGAGCCAGAATCAGGAACTCAGTCAGGAAAAGACAATCCGCTCGTAAATCAAAATGAATCCCTACCATCCACATCATCCTCATCTTCGTTTGTAGCTAGACCTCAAAATCTACCTCCATGCTTTGTACCACCTACACCATCTACAAATTCCGTAACATCTCCACTGACACCAAGTTCAGCAACAACACGTCGTCGTACTAGACAAATCGCTAATATTGAGTCATCATCATCAATGCTTCTTCCATCAACAGAACCTGCTGTAAAAAAGCGTAAGCTAAAACAATTAGGATTTACATTTAAGAAAACCAAATATACAGGAACCGTGGAAGTGGATACAAGGGTTACTTTTGCAGAACAATTTGAAGTTAAGACACCGCAACAATATTTTAAAAAGTTTTTTAGCGACGAACTATTAGATTACATAGTAGATATGACTAACCTTTATTCTGTTCAAGATCAAGGTAAATCTATTAATGTTACCAAAAAAGAAATAGAAATAGTACTGGGTATTGTCATTATAATGGGAATTGTTAAGATGCCAGCTATCGAAGATTATTGGAGTAACGACCTTCGTTTTGAACCCATAGCATCTGCTATGGGTATCAAACGTTACAGAACCATCAAACGCTTTCTACACTTTTGTGATAACACAAATGTAGATAAGAATGACGGCTATCACAAAGTTTCTGCTGTGATGGAACATGTCCGTCAGCAGTGTCTCAAATTGGAAGAAGAAAGATCATTTGCTATTGACGAAATGATAATACCATATAAAGGGAAGAAAGCCGGCAATCGGAAACAATACAATCCCAAAAAACCCCACAAATGGGGTTTTAAATTTTTAGTTCGGGCGGGCACCTCAGGGATGGTATATGATTTTTTCCCCTATGATGGTGCAAATACCTTTCAGCGAGTACCATTTACAGAATGGGAAGAAAATTATCTCGGCGTTGGCGGCAAAACGGTTGTTAGATTATGTAAAACTATATCTAATAAAGTTCTTTCCACAGTTTACTTTGATAACTGGTTCACTTCTTTAGAATTGCTTCATTACTTGCGAAACGAGTTTGGTATTCTATCCTTGGGAACAATAAGAAAGGATAGACTGCGCAATTGCCACCTAAGTAGTGATAAAGACATGAAGAAGAAAGGTCGAGGAACATATGAAGTTGTGTGCGATAACGGCAAAAGATTGGCAGTTACAAAGTGGGTAGACAACCAATGTATACACATTGCCAGCTCCTTTTGTGCCCAAGATCCTGTCACTACGATCGACAGATACGACAAAAAAGAAAAAAGGCGAGTTTCTGTGTCCTGTCCACATGTAGTCAAAGTGTATAATGCACATATGGGTGGAGTAGACATTGCAGATATGTTGACTGCTTTGTACAGGATACGCATGAAGACGAGGCGCTGGTATTTATCAATTTTTGCCCAGCTTTTGGATATTGCACTCAACAATAGCTGGCTGTTACATCGTCGTGAACATAAATTATCACTAAAAAAGTTTCGCATACAGGCTGCTCTTGCACTCATGACAACCAACACCAAATCTCAATTCCCAAGAGGAGCACTTGATCCTGGGCCTGATACAATTACCAAGCCTTTTATACCTCGTCCTGTGGATGAATCACGCCTCGATTGTTTTGATCATTTTCCCGTTTACACGTCTCAGGGGCGATGTCGTTTGTGTAAGAGCGGAAAAACTATGGTGTTGTGTTCAAAATGTGAACAGAGACTCTGTTTCACAGTAAAAAAAAATTGTTTCTTACTATTTCATAAAAATAAATAATTATCTTTTTGTTTTGTTTTTAAACGTTTATTTTTTGTTACAAAAGGTGGATTTTATTTTGTTAGAATTTATTAAACTTTTATTTTGTAATGCGAGTAGTCATTAGTATTATATTTAATAGTTCCTAAAGTGTAACTTCATCTCAAAAATAGTTGAACGACTTATGTTTTTAAAACATTGTTAATATAGTTTAAGTTTTTTTGTTAACATGTAAACCTGGTTATGTCCGTTTCATGTGACACATACAATGTGATCAATGTTTATAGGATGGCTGGCAATGTCACACACAAGTGACATTGAAAACAACATAGTTAATATAATATATTTGTTTAAATTTCATATGCGTTTTCTTAATTTACCCCAAATAAGAAATATAATTTAAAAAAATGTAAAAAAATACGTTTTATTGAGAGACTGCCAATTTAAGGGTTAAAGGTCGTCCAAAACGACTATCGTTTCGGATTCTGTGAACGATAAAATCTATTGGGCTTGAGAATCGATCCAGTTCTTGACAATTGAAGTGGCCTTTTCTTGTCGTTCGCTCCAATAGTGCTTACGGGAACAAATGGACAAATGAACGTGAAACGAGATATTTTGATAACTTTGTTTGTGGAGAATCGAATCAAAAGATTGGGACTGGCTTGCGCTTTTTGTAAAGCCTTTGATGTTTGGACAAATTGCTTGAGTTGTTTAGGTTGATTACTTAGGTTTTTTGTGTTGTGAAAGTACGGTTAGTTACGGCTTAGTTTCAGAAAAATTAAGCTATGGTTGATACATAACTTTGAACGTTTTACCAAGCAGTACTCATAAATCTCCAAGTTAAAGATAAACCATTTTTACAATAACAGCTGAAAGACGCTTGCTTTTAAATCTCAAACAATGAAGTTGAATTAAGTTTTTCCGTCATGTGGAATTTTAGTCAAGTTAGTAATTATTACCTAAAACAACATAAACGATGAAATACAGTTCCTTTGAACCTTAAAGTAAGTAGGTAGCGTAGTAAGCGTATACAAATTTCAAAACTAAACCAAACTCCTTTCCATTGTTCACAGAAGTAAAGTAGCTGCCTTACTCCTGGACAAACATCTGCAGATTAACGGGATCTCAATGGGCGAGGTGATGAGAGAGAGACAGAGCATACAGATGCAGCCTATGGCCAGCAGTAAGATGAAAAGAGAGAGAAAAGCAGCAAGGACTCTTGGCATCATCATGTCAGCCTTCTTGGCGTGTTGGCTGCCATTCTTTTTATGGTAAGTTTTTATATACGATAGGGTTCAACAGGCAAAAAGATCACCTGATGTTTATATTAAGACTTTCGTGAGACATACTAAATTAATTATTATGTTTTCGGCTTACTCACGTAACTGTTCAGTAGCAGCGCATCAGTCGCCTTGTCACAGAATACTGCTCATGAATATGAGCCTCTAGCATGGCTTATTACTAGTCGAGATCCCTGTCAAACAATTACGTGAGTAAACCGAAAACACAATAATTCGATCACCTGGTGGTAAGCAGCTGGTGTCTTCAAAGACAACCTGCAAGACCAAAGGAATCTTACTTAATTTTTTTTTAAGTAATATAGTTAAAGCTTGTACAGGTTATCTTTTTGTCTATCTATGGCGGTTCTCTGAATTGAGTGAATTATTGTTTGATATTTCACTGCTGGCTAGCGTTCCAGCAGCTGTAGCCAAATGCCATTTAGCGCTTGTCTACATGTAGAATAGAAAACCAAATTATATGGAATTGACGTAAATTTTGACACTTGATAGTGCCATCCCCATACATTTTGATTTCTACTCTCTCTATAGACAAGCGCTAAAGTGGCGTTTGGCTAAAAGCCCAGGCTTTTTATTGCATAATTATGACTGTCAACGTCATTGTTGAATCACAGCCCTTGTTTGTAGCCTTATCGACCAGAACTTGAATAAGTCCTAATTAATTTAAACATGGTAATTATTTTAGTGTTATTTGCCTGTGGTCAACACTGTATTTATCAGTCTTATCCAATTTAAGCTTTTTCTACGATATTGTTCGTAGACTTCAAAGAAAAATGTGTCTACCGCCCACATGTTTTTATACGTATCTCCACTACATTATGGTTCTAAATAGATTCGATCACATGTAAAAATCACGTCACAAATCTGATTCACGTGTTGTATTCATACGGGTCCACACGTGTGACCTAAAAATGTAAGCATTTACTTTAAACTAGCTACTTCCGCGCGGTTTCACTCGCTCTGCTCTGCGCTAATTAATCGTAGCGTGATATTTTATAGCCTATAGCCTTCCTCGATAAATGAGCTATCTAACACAGAAATATTCAAATCGGACCAGTAGTTTCGGAGATTAGCGCGTTTAAACAAACAAACAAAAACACAAACTCTTCAGCTTTATAATATTAGTATAGATGTGTAGACAATTTAGCAAATGGGAATAGTCTAAAGATCTATGAGACATCACAAGTAATTTATGATACGGATCAAAAGTACTGGGTAGTGTGGTTGCAAGTAATACGGCTTATAGAGCTGAAATCTATCTTAATATAAAATCACTGAAATAACTATTACATTTTCCGGCTTACTCACCAAACTGTAGACAGTTATTTGTCAAAGAATTTAACTAGTTTTGAAGGCACGCTACCGGCTCATATTCATAAACAGCATTGCGCGACCCACGACGTATAAGTCTCGGGAATTATGTAGGTTTTTGACTGAAGTTCAACATAACAAATTTTTTTATGGCATAATCCGTTAAACCGTCTGTCGGATCACCTGATGGTAAGCAATCAGCGTCGCCCATGGACACCTGTAACACCAGAGGCATAATAAGTGCGTTATCGACCTTTTGGGTATTAGGAGTTTGATGATCGTTGGGGATTCAGGGATTGGGAAAGGGGAGGGTAATTGGGCCTCCGGTAACCTCACTCACACAACGAAACACAACGCAAGCATTGCTTCACATTGGTTTTCTGTGTGGCCGTGGTATCACTTCGGTCGAGCCGGCCCATTCGTGCCGAAGCATGGCTCTCCCACACTTATAATCACACACAAAGTCAACCCGAATGCATAGAATTGGTTTGAGACCTGTATTAATTTCAACTCTTACGCCCGAATACTGAGAACCTACTCAATTATCTATACTGAAATATCGTGCCATCTCTGTCATTTTACAAAGAATTTGTAGTAACAGAACTATACATAAGCACGACTTTGAGTGACGTATGAGTATTTCAACGTTAGTTTAGTCCAAAAATAGAGGTTATGAGTTAAGACCAAAGAATTTAGAGATTCAGATGAAAAATAGTAGAATACGTGGTTGCAAGTAATGCAAAAAGTTCAGAACTGAAAGAAGAAAGACAGAAATAAATAACCTTTATTCACACGCGAATCAAGAACCAATGGAAGGTTAGACGCCAAACGTAGACAAGTTAATATTAGATTAATCTTTGTCTGATTTATTGTAGCACGGGGCCTGAAATTAAGTTATAGCCAATCTTTGGCAATAGACCTGTATTTTGATGTTTTACAAGAAGACTAAAATAACAAAACCAGTACATTGTGTAAGAAGCAATAATGTAAAGTAGAAAATGTATTGTTACTATCAAAGTCTGAGGTAGAGGTAGAACAGCAGAATAATAGAGAAGTAACAGCTAAAGAACAAGCAGAATTTCTAAAAATACAATTTTAATTATATGTACACGATGAGATACGATATATGTATACCTAAATATCGCGACAAACTTTGTAGTGTTTTTTTTATGGAATAAGCCGATAAACGAGCAGACGGATCACCTGATGTTAAGCAATCGGAGCTCTCATGGACACCCATAGACACCTGAAGTTCGTTGCCGGACTTTTCAGGATTAGGAATTTGAGGATGTAAGGAATTCAGGGATTGGTGAGGTTAGGGAATGGGGGAGGGTAATTGGGTAACCTCAATCACACGACGAAACACAATGCAAGTGTTATTTTACGTAGATTTTCTGCGAGGCCGTATCACTCGGTCGAACCAGCCCATTCGTGCCGTAGCGTGGCTCTCCGACACTTATCCTTACTATTATAAATGGGAAAGTGAGTTTGTTTGTTTGTTTGTTTGTTCCGACTTCACGCCGTAACTACTAAACCGATTGCATTGAATTTTTGCAGACGTAAAGTTAGTAGTCTGGATTAAATAATAGGGTACTTTTTATAAAGAAAAAAATTGAAATTCACAAGGGAAAACAAAAGTATTGGTATAGATGGCGCTGTATGTATTGGTATATGTCACATAGACTACTTTTTATCCTTTTGTGACGCGAGCGAAGCCGCGGGTAAAAGCTTCATTATCGTTAAGATATCTGATTCATAATTTAATTCCAAGATTCCGCTTCACGCACATACATTCATACATACTTCATTGTAAGTTAAACAAATTTCATATAATAACCACATTGACCTTGAACCTCTTGTCCCCAGGTACATAATCACAGCGCTATGTGGAGATGCGTGTCCCTCCCCACCACCTGTGGTAGCCGCTGTGTTTTGGGTGGGGTACTTCAACTCCGCACTAAACCCCCTCATCTACGCATACTTCAACAGGGACTTCAGAGCTGCGTTCAGGAAGACCTTGGATTCTTGCTGCAGGTTAGTTTTCTATTAAAAATATTGCTATAATATACATAATATTGGCTTGGAAATTGGCGCATTGGCTGGGCGTCCTTTCTTTTATTTGTTTTTTTTTTGTACTTTGCCCCACATTAAGATTTTCAACTGTATCGTGGGTGCGTTTACAAACATACATGTTCACATACACATCACACCCAGATCCGATGATGATGTGTTGTCGGTTTATAATCTATATTTTAAACCGACAACACATCATCATCTATCAGCCTATAAAGCAAAGCCTCTTCTCACACGGAGAAGGTTTGTTTTGAGCATTAATGACCACGTTTACTCAATGCGGGGTGACGATTACAAACTTATAATTAGAAATTATAAGCCCAGGTTTCCTCACGATGTTTTCCTTCACCGTTTGTCAATGGTGTCTGACAACATATAGCAAGACAAAAAATTTTTGTTGAACAACATTAAAAAAAAGTCAATAACCTCGGAAAATTTCGTTCACAATTATACAAATAACAGTGCATAACATAAATAAGTTACTCTACTACTTCTGTCTGACCTATAAAATAGAGTTCATTTAGGAAATCAACCTCATTCAGAGTTCAGTAGATCGAGTACCTATTGATCGATGTTAGGTAATAAAATACTAGCTGGAAATGAGTCCATGGTTATTTTAACTGACTTCTACAAAGAATGACGTAATTTATAATGGAGCGACCACTTTATGACTTTCAAATTTTCTTTAAATTTTTGTTTCTACATTTTTATGGGATAAGCCGGTAAAAGAGTAGACGTGCCACCTGATGTTAAACATTCAACGTCGCCCATGGACACCCAAACACCAGAGGCGTTACAAGTGCGTTATCGGCCTTTGGAGGATTAGGAATTTAAGGATTGTTAGGGATTCAGACATTGGAGAGATTGGGGGTAATTGGGCCCCAGTAATCTCACTCACTCGAAGAAACAGCAAGCGTTGTTTCACTTAGTTTTTAGTCAAATTTCCGTGGTGCTTGGCGACTGGGCTTCACCCAGTTGTACAGTCTCTTCTTTGTGCCTTTAGGCTTAATTCATTCTGTCTCCTACAGTAATTCACCGAGGGAAGTGAAAACCATAGTTTTTTCTTCTTCTCCTCTTATAATATCTTCTGATTAACTTCGTTGCGGGAACCAAGACAGTTACTCATGTCCCTGGGACGCGCCGGACTTCAGTGTTCCGGTGTTTTCATGGTTGTATCTACTGTAGATCCTGGCTTACAGGAGTTGCAGCGGTTTTGGGAGGTTGTGGCGGGCTTGTCCCATTAAGAAGAAGCGTTGTTTCACATCGCTTTTCTTTGAGCATCATTGTATCTTTAATATAAATCTAATATAGACCATCGAACTGCCAAATCTCCGATTCGAATCCTACGAATAAAAAAGAATAATCGATCATCAACGCTTTCAACCAGACAACGTAGTGGTATAAATCTCATTTATTTCTAATTAAAAAAAAACAATGTTATATAATATGCACCTCTGCTTTGGGGATCCAATTTTCGTCACCGGGAAACAATTAATATTATACGTTGCTTTTTTATAATTTTAGAGTATTCTAACCAATCTTTTCACCTCAGGTCTCTCTGCGGCGACATCGCACGTCGCTACTGCTGCCAGCGTCAACGTCGCGAGCAACATCATTCCAACGCATCCTCAGACATCCACATGAACAACTGCGTCAAGTCAACATCCGCAGATGTCCTGCGAGCTCATCATGCATCCTGCTCCAGACCCGAAGATATCGTCTTTGGAACGTAGAGGGTCATATGACAGGAATATATTTTCTATTATTATGTACTCTAAGTTTAGTGAGCTAAGGATGTCTTTTAGTTGTGTGTTCTTGGGTGAGTAGTTGTATTTGTTTTATTTTGAAATTTCAGTCAATGTTTTTAAGTTTGGGTTTTGAATGTGATGTTTTTATGAATGATAAGTTATTAAGAATTTCTTTTCTTTAAGTTGAAATCAACATTTAATACAGATTGACAAACATTTTCGCTGTAAGACATATGTAGTTGTTAAATGAGATGAATAGAGATCATGAAAATTATGGGTATACTCATAATTGCTTATTTTAATCAAAAATACTGTCGATTGATAAAAATATAGAAAACTTGTATAAAAAAAAATGATTCATTTAAAAAACAAAGATACTTTTCAACTAGATGTGGTTGTGAAGACGGTAAATAGTTTAGTACGGTTGTGAAAAGAGATTTATAATTTCAATATTTTTCTTAATTTTGTTGAATAGTATTAGTAGAAACCAAAGAAAAATGTATTATTTATAGCATTAAAATAAGCAGAAAACGCTTAAAACTTAGATGTACTAAATGTAACTGGTTTTAAACCAATGTGTAGAACGTCAATGTGTTTATGTGTGCCCCTAAAAAGGTTAAATTAGGTCACTAATAAGAATTGTATATTTGTATAGAATATTAAGATAATTATGTGACCTGTAAAACACCAAAATGAAGGTTAGGATTTAGGAATATTCGTGTTTAACGTAAGCAATATTGTTTATTTTAATAAATGATTTTGAGGTTAGGATACACGTGCAAAATGTATGCCATTTCTAGTGCTTTTGGTATATACCATTCATTTTTGGTATAAACTGAGTACAGTCACAGACAACGTATCTTGATCCGTTTTTTATAATTTCTGTTTTTATATTATTTTCTCTCTGATATTATTTATTACAAACTGAAGTATTTTTAACGACATATAATTATAACTCAATAAGCCTCATTGGCCGAGTGGTCGCAAGTGCGACTGCCGGGCAAGGGGTCTCGAGTTCGAGTCCCGGGTCGGGTAAAATATTACTGGGTTTGTAAAAACCTCAGTAGTAGCACGGAGTCTGGAAATGTGCCCGGTATATGGCAATAGGCTCACCCCCTATTACATGGGACTCATAACATAAATAGTGAAAAGTGGGTGTTACATTATACAGTGGCAGTGCCGTAATGTGCACCTCTGCCTACCCCTTCGGGGATAAAAGGCGTGATGTTATGTATTATGTACTGGAGTAAGTCCATTTAATCTACCATTTCAGTGTGATATGTTAAATCGATATCAAAACTGAACATTAAACTTATTAATAAATAAGATAGCTTATGACTTATTTTCCGTGAATAATTTTTCGATACAAAATTGTTTTTATAATAACCATCGTGAGACATATTAAATTAACTAAAAATCGCGGGTTACTCACGTCAATATACTGAGAAACGCTCAACTAGTTTCGAACCAAAGAGGCGTTCTTCCTGATGAGCAGCGTACGCAGTCGCAGCGATGTCATTTCTAAAATAGAAAAGTAACTTTAAACCCTAAAAACTATATTCATAGAATACAAAATTATTCAACCAGTTCAGTTCGTCATTGACAAAAACTTTGACATGAGTTAAATTTAGAAATTTTCGCAATATTGTACCCAAGAACGCTGACTTACCGGTGCCTATCGCAATATTGTACCAAAGTCCTGGTACCAATCTTCTTAAAAGCCACAAAATTACAAAATGAAACAAAATTCTGTGCAAACTTCGTAAGTATGTCAAACTTTGAGCTCATAGGATCACTTCCTTGTTTCTGCTTCGCAATATTTCATGTCGACATGACGTAATCACTTTCATATTTCGAATGTCATTTTTACCCTTCGAGGTATCTCAATAATGTGGGGCGTAGTGATGCACAATACAATGGCGAAATTAAAACGGGATTCGATATGTTTGTTTAATATGTTTCTTGCAAAGGTTTATTAGTATTTGTGGATGTAACGAAGTAATAGATGAATGTAGATGAAACGAAAGAGAAGACCGGGTGGCGTTAAAAAGAAATGTATTGCTTAGCCAGCTTGAAATTGTTTGTCTAGAAAAGCCTTGTGATTTTCACCTCTTATTTTGAATTTAAAAGAATGCCTAGCCTCGCGACTGTCCTAATTTTAGAATGAGCTCTAATTACTTAATTGTACGTCTTAACTAATCACTTCTACAGAAACGTTTGTAAAATGTTTCCCTTTAATCTAATAGTATAAGACAAAATCAGTGTTGTCGTACAAATACATACTTAAAAAGAATATGATTAATTTCCAAGTAGGCAAGGCACGAAACTATTTTAGATGTTGAACACTTTATTTACCGACCTATCACTAACAAAGTTCCACAAATAGCAAAGAACGCGCTTTATACACAAAACCACAAGAGTATCAATTCATAGAGAAATAAAAGAAGAAACCATCATTGATACAGATCCCGGAATCAATCACGGGAAATAAAAAATCCCGGGAAAAATTGGGACGTTTGCCAACACTAGCGAGGTACAGCATAAAATATCTCCACGAATTATTTAGTAAGGTATTATTGCGACCTTTAGCCTTGCCTTATGTAATGTCAAGTCATGGTCAGTCGATATTGGAAAATGAGGTGGTTCCAAAAGAGCTTATAATGACGAAGAATATTTTTCCTTTTTGTATATTTCGTGTTGATTGACAGCTGTGCTAACGACAGTAATGTTGACTTTATATAAGATTGTAGCGTAACACAACTTCACGCCCTTCTTACGCCAACCGAGGGGAAATGTGAGATTTTTTTGTGAATGATCGAGCAGACGGATCGCTTGATGTTGTACATATTAAACTGTCAATCACCAAGCGGTCACCGGTGACCGCAACCTATTGTTCTATAATTGTGTCTACAAAACCGGTACTCGACGAGTTAAACAGTCACTAATAATTATGTCATTTCAGAAAATAACATTATTAACAGTATCGTCTTCTTTTATTTTCGATTTTTTAATTCTTAACTCATTACTGTGGGTTCATGTTCATATTATTATTGTTTTTTTTTTTGGTACAAGTCGGTAAACGAGCAGACGGATCACCTGATGGTAAGCAATCGGCGTCGCTCATGGACACTTGGAACACCAGAGGCGTTACAAGTGCGTTACCGACCTTTTGGGGATTAGGAGTTTGAGGATCGTTAGGGATTCAAGGATTGGGGAGATTGGGGAAGAAGAGGGTAATTGGGCCTCCGGCAACCTCACTCACACGACGAAACACAACGCAAGCGTTGCTTCACGTCGGTTTTCTGTAAGGCCGTGATATCATTCCGGTCGAGCCGGCCTATTCGTCCCGAAGCATGGCTCTCCCACACTTAGTATTGTATAATGATTTATTTTATAATGATATGAAAGTAGTATATATTCATTAAATTGTCAGCGTACTAAAAGAACAAACAGAAAGGCAGGAGTCACCTTCAAAAACCCAGACATTTTATGTCCAACTACATATTTAAACGTTAAACATTATTTATTCTACAATTGAACATTTAAAGGCATGCACGTTGCTACTACAATATTCCTACCTAAGTCCCAAGCTGGTACAAAATCGATTGATACCTAGTCAATACGACAGCACATAAACCTACACCAATCTATCAATTATCTTATCACAATTTCAGCTTTAAATCGAAACGATAAAGTCGAAAATCCAGTAAAGACAGACAGACCAAAATGCTTTGTACATTTTATTGAAAACGTGCTCTAGACATGGCCAGACTACTCAGGTACTTCTCAATGTAATTTGCCATCAAGAAGGGTATTATGAATTTAATTACGACGCCATATTAATGAAAGTATCACACGGTTGGGATAAAATTAATTGTCCAGTTAAAACGTGGATGCTAAAGCGGCTAGATGGGGCTCACTTCAAATTGATTATTTTTATATCAACTTAATATAATAAAAAAGGTTTACAGTTGAAGTGTACCTATATTTCTTTTTTGGTGTGTTTAAACTCAGACACCTTTAAAGTATAGGTACCAAATTGTTACGTGTTTATTTATTTACTATATAGACATGGTTTTATACCAATTACATTAACACTTATTAAAAAATTAAACAGGTACAATACTACATAGAAAAACAAACAGTACGAACTATTTGTAACACCTTCGATAGTTTCACCAAAGAAAATTGAGATATACTTAATGGATATTTTTATACGCTAGCTTCTGCCCGCGACTTCGTACGCGCAATCCCGTTTTCTCCCGTTCCCGTATGATTTTCAGGACTTTTTCTGTCTTAAGAACCTTCTCCTGACAATAACAAACACAACAAAACAAGATCAGCCAAATTGGTCTAGCCGTTCTCAAGTAATAGCGTGACAATGGGAAACGGGTTTCATATTTATATATACAGATATTGGCGTTTCGTACCGCATTATACAACTGCGTACAACAACATAATAAATGGTTCAATTCAAAGGTACGCTCCTGCCGTATCTAGCCCTATATAACTATGTGTTAAGTGCTGTAATGAAAATTCCCCACGATCCACTCCACTGCATTTTGTAGTCTATAAATGTCTAGTATCTATATAACATACCCAGCTTATGCCCGCGACTTCGCTCATGCTCTGTTAGGAGATTAGGACCAGATTTACTAAAAACAAATGACGCACAATTTTTGTTAGTCACAAATAAATCTCATACCAATTTTTACCCGACTGTTTCTTACAGTATTGTTTATAACTTTATACCTTGAACATTTTGAAATGCTCTATACAAACTTCTACCACACATTTTAGGGGGGCTAAGAAGAGACAAAAAGTAGCCTATATCACTCTTCATCCCTTCAACTATCTTCGCTTAGGAAACCATGTCAATTTATCGCTTCGTTTGGCCGTGAAAGACAACAAACAAACAGACACACACACTTTCACGTTTACAATATCAGTATGGATCAAGTATCTATATATAATAGGATAGGCCAGGATCGAGGGTCATGGCGTCTATTTATAAGTTGGTATGAATAGAACCGAGTGAGTTATAGTTATAATATGT